AGAATCTCCCTGCAACTCAGCTCCCTGAGCTCAGAGACTGTCTCTTGTTTCCCCATGGAGCTCCTAGAAGAGTTCCTACATATTCTTTACTCATCACCTGAAAGGTGGGTGTCACCCCCATTTTACAGATGAGGAAACTGAGGCTAAAAGAAGCCCAGATATTGCAATCCACCTAATCTCACAGGCAGTAGGCGCCAGACCTAGGATTCAAGTCCAGACTCCTTCCGTGCCGACTTAGGGTCAGAAGCCGCTCCTCCACGGGTCTCTCATGCATCCGTGTCTTCAGGATAAGCTAAGAATCAAGTGCCTGGCAGGCTCCTTTTGTCTGGATCATTTTTTAGGGTTGTGTGTGCAACCAGAAATCACGGAATACGAAGGAATAGCTTGCTTTCTCTTTGCTACACACGGCGGATTCCCCAAACTTGGTGTTCCTGGTCTATCCTGAAACCCATCACAGGTGCCAGCGTCGGTCCGGGCCCTGTGGCCGGCCTCTGAGGACTTAGGGGTGAAGTGGGAGCTAGTGCCAGCCCAGCACGCATGCTGCCGGCTGTGCCGTGAGTGACAAAGTCACTGGTCTCTGACCCTGGAGTCTCCTGTCTTCCGACAACATCCATGAAACACCGATAGGCTAACTTATTAGCTCGCAAGGGAAATCAGATTGAATCCCAGACTCAACATGGATGCTGTTCTATTTTCCACCTATTAGAGTATTTTATTACCAATAACATGTCCTCGCTGATGGAGCAACTTTCTGTCGCATGCCTCCTCCCAGCTGGTGAGGGTCACGTCTCCAGGGCCACCTGCCGGGGTATGCCCCTGACTCCCTCCCCTCCCCGCCCCCCAGGGAGATCCCTGGGAGACTCAGACGAGTTAGGTGCAATGGACCAGAAGAAAATGTGATCTGGTGTTAAGAGAGACATTAGCCTTAGTTAGTAAACACAGAGAACATTAAACCGATGAATTTGGGGGCAGACATGGGGCGAAACATAGCACAGAGAGGGGACAGTTTCTTAACGTTTGCATTTTCATGACCTGAGAGTGAGCTCAGTGCAAACTCTCTGGAATTCAACCGACTGGACCACGTGGCCAGGTTGAACCTGACAGTTGAGGGCACAGACTGTGTCTCCTTTAGCTCTGTATCTCTGGGACTGTACCCTTGGCCCTGGTCCCCCATGGGGGGCCGTTTCCTGGGAAAATGGACAGATGGGTAACCCAGTGCTGCTGATTGACGATGGGCTTGCTGGTCAACCTCCAGGCGGCCGCCCGCTCTTTGGGGAGGGGGCAGGCAGGGCCAGGCTCGGAGTTTCACGGCGCAGAAGCTCTCTGATCATCCCTTATGGGGAACTTGGAAGGAGTTCACAGGCCAGTGACCAGGCAGAGCTGCTGTCTGATTATTGCTTTTCCAGCTGAATGAGATTCAGTTAATGGAAGATTTAATAACTCCTTCTGGGCCCCGAGAACAGACAGGCGCTCCTCTGCTCCTGGATGAGTTTCTGGCTTGGCAGCCACGGGCCCCAGATCAGGGAGAAGTGAGAACTGCTTGAAGCTCTTATCTGAATGCCTGGGGCAGGACCCCAAGACCGTGTCCCCTTCATGGGGCCCAGCTCTGAGAAATCCAAGGGAAGCAGCCAGGAGGCTCTGTCCCCGGGCCTGGCTGCGGCCTGCCTCAGCGCCAGGTCCTGGGGCATTTCGGGGTCGGAGGAGCTGAGGGGGAGCCTCGCTTTTCTGCTCCCTGTGCCATTTACAAGGTCCGAGGCTCAGGGAGGAGGTGGGACTTGCCTAAGGTGGCAAATGCGTCTTTGGCGGGACCAAGATTAGAACCTGGAGACCTTAGCTCTCCAAGCATGTCCCTTCCAGCCCGCCCAGCCCGGGGGCCAGACAGGCCTCAATACCAGCACAGATGGCGGGGAGAACTGGCCCCCCCCAGATGGGATGGGTGTGCTCAGGACCACAGCCTGCTCCTGGCCACGGCCGGACCGAGGTCTGCACCCGCCCCTGCCCGCACCCCAGGCTCTGCTCGCTGGGGCCTCCTCCCCGGAGGTCAGCTGGAGGTCGGCAGTGAGCTCCAGCTCTCCAGACACAATCTCTTGTTCTCTTTCTGTGGTCTTGGAGTCCAAGTCCCTGCACTGTTTGGAAAGCAGGGCCTGAAACAGCGGGTTGCGGTGTGCTACAAACCCAGTCCTGGTTCGACCACGTGCTTCCCCCGAAGATACACAGGGACCGTTTCAAACGCCGCCCGCGTGGACTGGACCGAGAGGCCGGAGGGAGGAGACGGGCCGCCTCCTGTGGGAGACGCACCTCCTATCTGCCCCATTCGATGCTTTTCGATTTTTCTTGCCTCGTGACTGCTGCCCCCACCAGACAGACCCTTACAGACACTTAGAGGGGACAGATGGAGGGGACGATACAGAGCAGGAGCTGTCGGTGGGAGGGCGGGGAGGCAAACACAGAGAGAGTCAGAATCCAAGAGTGCGACGGTCCAGCAAGCATATTCCCTGCCCCAGGGCCTTTGCACATGCCATTCCTGCCGCCTCGAATGTTCTTGCTCTAGAATCCACGCGGCTGCTTGCTCCCAGCTGCACCCCTGGGTCTGCCCAAGTGTCCTTCCCCGAGGGGCCTTCCCTGATCACTCTGAAACATCATCATCATCATCACCACCATCATCACCATCATCATCATCATCGCCTTGCAGGGCTGCATTTTCCTTCACAGCCTTAAGCACAAAATGACACGCTGCTGTGTCTGGAATTCCTCGTGTGTTACCCCCCGACCAGGAAAGCAGGGACCTCCTCTGTGCCCCCCCCACTGAGAACAGTGGGGGACCCTCAACCAGTACGGGCATCAGCAAACGTAGGTTCACAGTCGTGAGAACGCGAATGAGGGTTTATTCTTGTATTATGATTAGGCATTATGTTATTTTCCACACGAACAGCTGAAAGCCTACTTTTGCCCACCTGGGACCTGTGCTCTGGAGGTAGAGTGAAAAACGCTCCCGACCCAGGAGCGGAGGTTCATTCTGGTCTGTGCATGGTCAAAGGTGGGGGGTCCCCTTTGTGGAAAATGGGGATGGTCGCAACAGCCATCTGCGATCAGCCCTGCCCAGGAAGAGCCCGGGACAGTGTCCAGCACAGCGCGGGTCGCCTCTGACCTTGGGACCTCGTGTCCGGAGGTTTCCTCTCCCAGCTGAGCTCTGCTTCTGCCCCAGCTGAGCAGCCCAGCCGTCCGCAGGGCGGGGAGCGTGGGGCTGGGCGTGCAGACTTCCTCTGGCCTTTGCAAAAACAACACACCAAAAATACTGCAGACCACACTGTGCATCTGTGCAGCCGCCCTGAGCCGCGGCAGGAAAGCGTGAATCCCGCGTGGCAGGCTCCTCTGTGTGTAGGCAGGATGTGGGGCGCACGGCACCTGACGGGGCACCCAGCCCCACCGCGGGACCCACGGGTCTGGCTCCCAGGCAGCCTGCAGCCACGGCGAGGCCTCCCTGGAAGGCTGGAGTGGGTCTGTCCGGACCAGGACACCCATGGAGGATGGGGGTGCTCGTGTCCAGTATGACACACTCCCTCCCCCTTCTCTGTTTCCATGGCTCTGCCCTGTCAACCAGAGAACCTGCAGGAGGCCCCGGCCGGCAAGCTCAGTGGGTCGGAGCATCGTCCCCATATGCCAAGGTTGTGGGTTTGATCCCTGGTCAGGGCACATACACAGTAACACAGAACTAAATGCATAAATTAGTGTAACAACACATCGATGTTTCTCTCCCTCCCTCTCTCTTTAAAAAAAAAAAAAATCTGCATGCGCATCCTGGAAGCTCACTGCTGCCCCAGCTGGTTGGGGGTTACAGAGCCACAGCCGCACTCGCTCCACCCATGGGCACACTGCGGCCCGGCGGAGGGACGGGGTGGGCACAGTCCACACGGTGCCAGACCTAGAACCTGCTTTCCGGATTTCTGGGCGACACCAGTTGCTGTTAGGTGGCGGTTTTCGAACGTCCTTGAAACTGGACGGCACACTCAGGCGGAGGGCAGCGGCTGAAACGGAGCTTTCCCAGCTGCAGCGGGGCTGGGGCCCCAAGCTCGGCTGTGGGGCCTCCTCACCACCCCCACGCTGGTTTGAAAACCAAAGCCCTTAGCAGGCCACACCCACCATCCACACCGGGGGCCCTCTTCCTGCCCCTGTCCCACAGGGCATCTCTGGAGACCTCAGAGGCCCGGCCAGGCAGCCCACCTGGGGCCGAGTCACTCAGCGGAGCCGGCTCATTCTCAGAGATTTCTCGGAAACAGCTTCTAAGAAACCTTCCGAAAAGAAGAGTGGGTCGCGAAGACGGGGAACAGCCGTTGGGCACCCCTGGTGGCGGGGGAGAGAGGACACGAGAGGCGGGAGGACCCAAGTGCCGTCAGAGGCACGCGGCGGGGTGCAGAAGAGCGGCTGAGGGGGGAGTTGGCCCCTGGCGGGTGCCTAACTGACAGGTGGGGACCCCTGTTGGACCCACCTGCTCCGCTCCCCTGCCCGCCTTCCTACCACGAAGTCAGGGCCCTGCTTTCTGAATCACCGAGAATGACCCAGCCTCTAAACTGCCTGTAGATGTACCCACGGGGCACATTCTCTTAATGGTTGGGGCGGCACGCATTTCCCGTGTTGTCCAAGTTGGCGACTCAGCGCGGTTGAACACGGTAAGACCTCCGTTACAGAGCGAGGAAGCCCTCCGACAACCAGAGCTTTCCGATGATTGGAGGAACCTCCATTCCCCGAGCGCTGCCCGAACACGTGGGGCTCCACGGGGTTTCCTTCTAAACCTCCTAGAAGTGCGGGCTGCCCACCGTGACCTGGGTGCCGTAGGAGGCCCAGGGAGACACACAGCAGTCACCACGTCACAGGTCCCCCACCTCGGGGTGGAAGGGGGACAATCGTTTCGACACAGTTTAAGGCACACAAAGCAAGGCAGTTAAAAGCACTGGGTCCGGAGCCAGAGAGAGCTGGGTTCGAATCCCAGCTCTGCCACTTACCTGCTGTGTGACCTCGGGGTGTGCCTTAACCTCTCTGAGCCTCCGTTTCTTCATCTGGAAAACAAGGAGAAAAAAACGCTCATTCTTACCGCAGGGCGAGGGCGCGGAGGTCTAACCAGGGCGTGCCTACAGCGTGCTCAGCTCGGGCACACAGAGCAAACACCCAGGGCTCGTGTGGAGTGACAGAGCTCTCGAGCCGCCGGGTGAGGAGGGAACAGCAGCCCCTGCAGGGTGCTGCTGGGGGTTCGGGGACCCCAACGCCAGGCTTTGTTTGCGCTGCCAACTGCTCGTGAAAGCCCTACCCTGCGTGATCTCTCCGACCACTTCCTGCTCGAGACAGAAGATCAGAGGTCAGGACGGTGCGCTCTAATTCTGAGATCTGTCCTGCGTCCGGCACGGGGTTCAGCCGTTAAACCTCACCGTAGTCCCCCAGGTAGCTCTGGCTTCCTGTGCAAACGGAGGAGGAAACCGAGTTCGGAAGATGGGGGAGCCTGGCCGGGCCCCAGGGGCGGTGAGCGCCAGGGGGCGGCTGGAAGCCCGCTGGTCAGAGCCCTTCTGCAGCCACCTGTGCAGGGGGGCCGGGGGCCAAGTCCGGAACCCCGGGGGGTGGGGGCTGGATCTGCCGCTGGAATATTCTAACTGGCAGGAAACAGCAGCTGGGAATTAGAGAGGTGCTTTTAGCCATCGTTGTTTTTTAGCCTTTTCCCAGAATGCTGAGTGGGGGCCCACCTTTAACAACAATGGTGGAAGACAACAATACCCTTGGTATTCCTGTCACCCCGTGGACACACAGAGGGTTCAGCCACACGCTGCCTTGGTCTCGTTACCTGTGAGGTGTGCAAAACGCCTTCCCCCGGGGGTGGGGGTGAAAGGAACTTTCTGAATGCTCAAGACACCTGGGCTTCCTCCCTCCCGCTCACCTGAGCACACTGCCCTCTGCGCGTCAATAATGGATGGTGACCCGAGGCCCGTGGACGCTAATATTACACTGGGGCCGCCCCGGGCAGCCGGAGGGAGCCCGTGCCCAGGATGGGCCAGGCCTGCCTCCAACTCTCTTGTGGAGATAACACGTCAGAAGGGCTTTAAGAAGTCATAGTACAGTTTAGTTCCAAGTAACCCCTTTCCCGAACAAGCAGCAGGTGTCATCTGCTCACTTTCTCCTGCCACCAACATCCGGCACACCTCCCAGCAGGTGAGCCTCATGTTCGCAGTGGTTAGCGGGTGGCCAGCCTGTCACTCAGGGCTGATGGTCCTTAGTGACTCACCCGCTGTAGCTCAGAGGGGCAGGGCTTGGTAACCAAGAGGTGCCAGGCTAGCCTTAGGTAGCAGGTTACCCTGGGCATCACCTCACCTGCAAAGACAGGGTTCAGGTGTTCCTGTCCACAGCCAGGCGGGGGTGGGGTGGGGTCAGGCTACCTGGAAGGGGCCAGTCCCTGTACAGGGGACGCTGTGGGATGGCCTTTCCTGGGCTAGGCCACCACCCCTCAGCCGCTATGGCTGTTTGCTGCTAGCAGCTCCCAGCTGCCCCAGCCAGACAGGAGAGGCCTCGCCTGGGAGGGGACCCCTCCTGCGACCATCTCCCCACCCCGGGCAGCCCCCAGACAGTGACCGGGAGGCCTGGGGCTACACGAGGACCCTTCCCCTCAATGTGGAACCAGCCTTGTGGCAGCTGTCCCAGGGTCCCCGTGGTCCAGCTGAGGACACGTCCTCGCACCGTGCCTGCCCCTGCCCTCCCCAGTCCCCTCCTCCGAGAGACTCCCCAGAGCTCCACACACCCCGGCCTCCGGCTCTGCAGCGAGGAAGGGAGAGCCCAGCCCAAGGCCGCTGGAGCCGAGGCTCTCAGGAAGGGAAGTGCACTCGAGCTCGCTCAGAGGAGCTGGGGGAGCTGTTCGAGAACGGAGAAGCTCCTTAGCCCCCCGGCCCAGACTCTCCGCTTCAGAACAAACAACCAGAAGCCGTTAGTCATCTAGCAAAGACTCGCTGGGTGGGGCCCAGGATGCGCCAGGCCCCGAGGGGGGTGCTGGTGATACTCGGTGGTCACGTCGCCCCGAGCAGTACACAGCCTGCAGGACAGGGGTGACAGCGAAGGCAGCACTAGGGAGGACGCGTCCGAGTGGCAGCCACGCCCAGCCAGGGCTGAGGGGCCAAGTTCAGGCAGAGGGGCGAGTCAGCGTCACACCGCCAGGAGGACAGTGGCTTGCCACCCAGCAGATTGGCAAGCGTGACAGGCCCCTCAGGATGTCCCTTTCTAGTCACTTCCTCCGGGCTAGGTCTGTCCTTGGGGAACCTGCCACACGCCTGTCCCCCCTGGAGCTCCCAGGCCGAGACCCCCTTTCCCATTGGCTGTTGCAGTGTCAGAGGTTAAACCAATCAGTGGCCTTCTGGACAGCAGCCCACTTCCCCGAGCGTTTCTCTGCGCGTCCACGGGAAGGTGCCACGTGTCAGGCGTGAGCCAGTGAAGACCCCACGGGCCTTCGCTGTGTCACACACCAAACGGCACGCAGGCTGCGGGAGGCGTGGGGAGGCCCCTGCCCGCCAGACGTAACGACAGGTGAGTGGGTGTAACGACCACTCTCCGGTGCCTTCTTCCCAAGTTCTCGCGCTGCGGGACTCGTGTGAATAACCGGCGACCTCCTTCGAAGTGATCCACAGCAGTGGCCGTGGCCGTGACCACCGCAGATCGAGGGCAAAGAAAGGAAAACGTCGTCGGTTCCTGTCTTTAAAACTCCGGCATCATCATCCAGCCCCCCCCGGATTCAGTCCCTTTGATATATACCTGCACATTTTGGCAGTGATATTCGTCTTGAGGGTTTTAAAAGCTCAGCATTTGGAAAATGCTCAGCAAGCCAAAGCGGACTAAGGGCGAGAACGAGAGGTTCTCTGGGCTTGGGGCTTTCCTTGTAGGTGCATGGGGAAGGAGACAAGCGTGAAATGCACGGTCCTCGTGAAAGGATCGAGGTGTGACGCACACAGAAGGGTGACTGTCCTCGCTGAACACCCACTACGTGCCCGGCCCGTTACAAACAAAAGCTAACATTTCCTAAGTACTTTCAGAGGCCCTGTTTCAAGCACTTCACGGGGATTAAGCCAGTCCAAACAACCTTGTACGAGACACCCTTCGTGCCAGCCCCGGTGCAGGTGAGCCCAGAGAGGTGAAGTCACCTGTCCAAGGTTGCACCGCAGGCAGAAGGCAGGGTCAGTGCCCGAATCCAGGTTGCCCGGCAACCTTCAGGGCTGGAAGTGTTAGCTCAGCAAACGCACCAGCAGATCTCCCCGGGCAGCCGTCGCTTCCTGCCCGCTGGTATGCGAGCCGTTTTCTGCAGATGGGCAGCGAGTCAGAACCCGGCCCACGCCAAGCTCTCGGTCACGCTTTCAGTGGAGCCGTTCCAGGGTCGTTTCTGGCAGCCCAGTGGCCGGAGCGCCCCAGAGCGGGGGGCCCGGGAGCCGCAGCCTGGCTGCACTCGGCCATCACGAGCCGTGTGACTCTGAGCAAGCCCCTTCCCCCTCCGGGCCTCCGTTCCTCCTTGGGAAAAGGTGGTGGTGAGGAGCCCTTCAGGCCGGCGGGCGACACGCCCAGACTCAGCCGCGAAGGACCACGCTTCATGTCCCCTGGGGTCACTACGTCCCTGGTGATTTTTGGCAAGTCTCCAAATCCCAAGCCTCAGTTTCCCAATCTGTCCAATGTTGCGCTAAATTGGAGGATATGGAAACCGTGGCCTCAGGAAACTGTTGCCTCATGGGATGTTTTGTCTCTGGCATACTGCAGTTGACAAAACTTTAAAGCAGCTATAGCTTTTATATACCAGAAAACTTCACCAAAAATCTGGACTCTAGCTTCCCTGCATAAAGGAAGGAATGGTCCAGGGACGTCAGGCTCACATTCCCCCGGGATTGAGCAGCAGTCACCTCCTTTCCTCAGAACCTAGTGAGATTTCCAGTTTGCCACAGGCCCCACTACTCCCTATTGCCTTACCCAGACCTCTTTTTTATCCATTGATATTCCTCCTGCGGCCCCTGCGGGCATAGGAAACTGTGACCCCTGCACTGGACGTTCTAAAGGTCTCCTCTGCTCCTGTTCCCCGTGACTTTCAAGGTGTTATCCACACGCCCCTAGAAGCTGGCCTGCCATCCCGGGGTAGACAGTGAAGAGCCGCCAGCTTGAGGCTGGGTCCTCCGGAGCTGCTCTGCACTGCCCAGCAGAAGGAAGAGGCCTCGCCTCCGCCAGGACTCTGACCGCCCGGACAGCGGAAAGATGATAGCCGCCAGAATGCACCCAGCAGCCACCAGGCCACGCAGAGCTCTCGGCCACCAAAGCCTGCTATAATTACCTGCAGTGTGTAATAAAGTCCCACGGAGAAACCTTAGAAAGGACCCGGCGAGGGGAGCTTTTTCCTGGGTAATTTCCTGATCATAGAATTTCAGGGCTGGAAGGCATCTAGGCCGACCCATCATTTGACACTTCACTCTCCTCCGGCGAGGCTAACACCATGCGTTCAAGGTCTGTAGGCCCAGCGCTGCCGGGAGCTGACAACAGAAGGAAGTGCGGCATGCGGCCCCACCCTGGGGTCCTCCCACACGGTGGAGGCCGGTCTGGCAAGCAGATAATGACAAAGCAGGACTGCAAGGGCCCAAACTCCCGACGGCCACCACCGCTCAGCCGTACCAACTGCCGACACTGCATAAACCATCTCGCTGAATCCTCAGGCTTCCTCCCTGACTGGCAGGTGAGACTCGGAGGCCCAGAGGGGTGAAGGCCCCCAGTGGAAGTGGCACAGCCTGCAGGTGCTGGAGCAGGCTGGTGTTCACCAGCGAGGTGAGATTTCACAGCCAGGTCTGCAGCCGCCACCTTGGCCTGCTATTCTAGACGGGCGGCCAGGGGCGCAGAGGAAGGCAAGCAAAAGAGAGTGAACCAGGAGGCGGAGGCGGGGCCAGGCGGAGGCTGGCGGGGACACAGAGGGCTGGGGCCTCATGGGCAATTGGGGAAATGCAAATGAAAACCGGATGAGATGTTGCTCGACACCCACGAGCCTGGCATAAACGCAGCGAGTGTCGGGTGTTTTTGCAGACAGGGAAGCTCACGCCCTGTTCATGGGACAGGGGACTCGTCAGCTGCTCTCGGGAAGCACCTGGCAGTAACGGGACAAGTTACACAGAGGCACACTCCATGCCTGCAGAGGGCAGGACCAATAAGATGGCGTTGGTCCGGTCAAGAGAGCACAAAGCATATAAAACAAAGTGGAGTCACTCGTGTCAACCAAGACGGCTGCCAGCCAGCCATGACACTTTGACTCAAGCGGAAAACTACCTAAGTGAGGGCAGACGCATCTGGCAAGGAGACACGCCTAAGACACCTGCACACGTGACCAGAACAGCCAGGCCCGCAGAGCAGGACCACCCACAGATAGGCTCCTGGGGAGATTCCCCACTTGGCGTCGGGGGGCCGAGACACTGATGGAGAGGCCCAGAAGGGTGGAGCCCACCACTGTCAAGGGCATGGCTGAGGCAGCTCCAGACCACCGCTGAGACAGCCGAGCCCCACAGCCCAGAGGGCTGCTCCACGCCAGGCTGATCTCCCCGGGCATCGACCTCGGGAGGCTCTGCCTGCTGGACTGAGGACTTCGCCTGCCCTGAGGCCCGCCTGGCTCCAGAGACCCTTCCTTGCAAGACGCCGATGGTTTCCTTGCCCTCCGTGCTGTCTCCCAGACCCGCAGACGCGAGACTCTGGGACTCGGGTTCATCACCCCCCATTGGTTGCTCTGTGTGTGTGTGTGTGTGTGTGTGTGTGTGTGTGTGCGCGTGTGTTATATTCCTCTTAGATCGTCAGAGTGTGAGCAGGACACTAATGTGTGCTGATGTTCTACTCTGAGTGGACCTGCGTTCAAGCACAGCTGAGTGAACAGCATGGTCACTGCGTGTGGCTCTGGTCCCTTCCCTGGCGCCGGGCTGCTCAGCGGGCAGCTTCCCGAGCAGCCGCCCGGCTGACTTGTCGGAAAGACTGTATCGTGAACAGACGCCCGTGACCATGGCCCAGCAGTTCCTCTCGCAGGCGGTCACCGCGGCCCTCCAAAGGGCCCAGGAGGGTGTCAGACACACCCCAGGATGCTCTTTTATATGTTAAAGATAGAGAAACATCCTGGGTCGCAAAGAGTTTCTTACAAAACACACGGGGAAACGTTCCTGTTACAGTGACAGGTGGCGGGGGCCAGGAAACACGCGGGACCCCAGGACAGCCCCCCTCGTCCGCAGGGTGGCCTGGGAAGTGGCCGGCATGACGTGCCAGGCGCACACCCAGAACGGAGCCAGCCGGTGTGGTCTGGTGCTGGCGCGTCTACCAGTCACGCGTTGGGGCCTCTGAGCAGGCCTTTACGTTTCACTGCCCCCTCTCCAGCCCCCAGCTCAGGACGTATGTGCTGGACGCCCGCCGTGGGCAGGGTCCTGCACCAGGAGGCAGGGCTGCGGCTGGGAGGGAAGCGGGGGGAGGCAGCTTCACCCCCAGGCTGCAGCGACGACGAGCACGGACGTTCGTGCACCACGGGTGGGGACGCCCACAGACGAAGCGCGGGGACGGTGGTGGGAGAGGGCCGCGCGTGGCTGGGCCCACTGCACGAGGAGCCGCCGGAGGTGGCCGAGGAGCCCTCTGCTAGATCACGGGGACTCCTCGAGCTCCTGCAACGGCGCCAAGAGAAGATGCGGAGAACAAAATAGCAACAGACTCCCAGACACTGAGGACAGACCGGCAGCTGCCAGAGGGGAGGGTGACTGTGGGGCTGGGTGGAAAGGGTGAAGGGGTTAACCCAAAAACAAGAACAAATAAAACCCTGGCAGACGGGAAGGGTGGCGGTTACCAGAGGGACGGGGGGCGGGGGGGGGGAGGCAGTCGAGGGGGGTACACGGTGATGGGAGGAGGCCGGATGGGGGTGGGGACCACACCGTGCGACATGCCAATCATGCATTACAGAGGGGGGCACGCGAAGCCTGCATAATTGTAGTCGCCAACGTCACCCCAATAAATTTAAAAAAATGTTTTAGCCCTGGCTGGCGTAGCTCAGTGGATTGAGCGTGGGCTGCGAACCAAAGTGTCGCAGGTTCTATTCCCAGTCAGGGCACATGCCTGGGTTGCAGGCCACGGCCCCCAGCAACCGCACATTGATCTCTCTCTCTCTCCCCCCACCCTTCCCTCTCTAAAAAAATAAATAAAATCTTTAAAAAAACGTTTAAGAAAAAAAAAGACGTGGAGCTCGACCCTCCTCGCCCCCTTCTTCGGAGTCTGACCCCCTCTGGGTGGAAACAGGAGCCAGAGCTGAGGAGGCTTTGCTCCAGCCAGGCCCGCCCCCACCCAGCCCCGCCCCACCCCCCAGCCCGCCACCCCCCTCCCGAGCCATCACAAAAGGCCAGTCCTGCACCCGAAGCCCCCACAAGGGCTCTGCCTCACCCCGCCGCCCCCCCAGGACTCCCTTCCAGAGCGGCCCAGCCAGCACGCAGACCAGTGGACAGAGTGTGCCGTCCAAGGGGTTTATCACGTTTTCTAGCAAAACACCAGAGGGCTCCCCCCCACACGCCCCTCCGTCGGGAAATTATTAAGTGCACCGGCATGTGTTTTGTGTGTTCAAACACCAGTTCCGTGTCAGAAAAGCCTACGCCGTGACTAAGGCTCAGGAAGAACAGTGACACGGGGAGACGCCTGCTGCACTGCGGCTCGGGAGACCACGGCGGCGGCGACACCGCGTCAGAAGCACGGTTCTGGCAAAATAGGAACCAAAGTGCAGCGGCAGGAAACACGCCAGCAGGCTACGATAAGTACTTCCTGGGAGGGGTGTGTGTGTGCGTGTGGGGGGGGCTCCACCGCCCCACCCCTCCGCCCTCCTCCCCCCTCCCGCCCTGGCGCTCTGCACTTTTCTGTCCCGTGGTCACGGGTGCTTTTATGATCAGAAAATAAAACTACCATGACAAAAAAACTGGAAACTGGCAGCGCCTCTCAAACCTCCTCCAGCCCTCTCCCAGGGGCTGTTTAAAGAGACAGCCTCTCGGGCCCGGGGCTCCCGTTTCTGGAGGCTCTGGCCCAGAGCAGAGAGGGAGCAGTGGACAGCTACCCAGAACACCCGCGAGGGGGCCAAGGAAGGGGACGTGTGAGGACGCAGACCCGGCTGAGTTTTTTTTTTTTTTAAAAAAAGAGAAAAATGGCTTCCCAGGGACAAGGGCTTGGGGACACAGTCCCCAGATTCGGGGGCTCCCTGGGGCTCCGCCCAGCCCTGCCTTTGCCTCCCCAGCCCCCAACGGAAAAGCCTATAGGACCACGGCGCTCTCGGCCAGGAGCCCAGCTAGGTCCTTGCTTGACTTCCAAAGCACTGTCGCCGGCTCGTTGTGGCTGGAGCTCCTCGCACTGTCCCTGCGGGGGACAGGCCACAGTGTCATATGCATTACAGGTCGCAGCTGAGAGAGGTTAACCAACCTGCCTGGGGCTTGGAGCAGTTAACCAACGTGTGTGAGGGCCGGCGCAGGAAATGGGACTCAGGCCTTCGGATCTGCCCCAGCCCCAACCCCGGGAGGGGTTCGCCCCACACCACAGCTGGGCCACCAGCCCGGCGCCGGCATGCAGGAGGCCCGGGTTCAAATCCCAGCAGAGTCACTGGGCGACTGTGGGTCTCGGTAGTTAACTCCAGCAGCCCGGGTTGCACCAGCAAACCGGTGACAAACCGAACACTGACCCAAGGGGTACAACAGGGAGCTCTGGCACCTTGCTAGCACATAGCGAATACTCTTACTGTCAGTGGCGGTCCCCTCTGTCCTCCCTGATGTGACCCCAAGGCACCATCTCCCTCCCCCCGTCCTCACAGGGCAAGGACAGGGTCTCCTTGTGCCTGTCCCCAGCCCAACGGTGTGGAGAAGGTGCTGGGAGGAGAGAGTCAGAGGGAAGGGACCAGGATGGAATCTCAAGAGGACCGTCAGCTACGAGTGGACATTTGGCAGTGTGTTTCCAAACTCTGCTTTCCGGCCAGCAGCGCCCCGTCGGGTCTAATTCCAGACAGATGGGTCTGCGCCCTGCCCCTGCCCCCCCCCTCCCCGCCTGCTTCAGGGGCCCCAGAAAGCAGCAGGGCCTCCTGGGTGCACCGGCCAGGCTAGAGGGAGGCTGCGAGGGGCTCCGACACCACAGAGCCCGGACTGTGAGGTCTGTGTTTGGCATTCGCCAAGAAAATAGGCGGACCCAGCCCCGCCCCGCCGCATGCCTCGGTCACAGTCCGTGGTCACGTGGAAACAGCCACACAGATGCCACTGCACCCGCCAGCAACAGTAAGCCCGGTGGTTGCACACACGGACTCAGAGCTAAGCTGCCCGAGTCTGAACCCTGGTCTGCCTAAAATCTTTGCTGGGCACCCCTGGGCAAGTCTCTTAACCTCTCTGAGCCCTTTTCCTCTCCTCTGTAAAGTGGGGATGGGGACAGGGATGGGACGGTGGCGCTAAAACTAGCACCGCCCTCGAAGGGGCACTGGGAGGTGGGTCAGGAGTTGATGTAAAATAAAGCATCAGAAGAGCCCTGTCCCGGGTGGAGAGCAGCATGGCCAGCCAGCTGCCCTGGCCTGGGCCGACTCCCAGGGCCTCCTCACAGGCCTGCCACGGGCTCAGCCCTCTCCCCACGCAAGCAGTCATGAGCACTCAGAAGATCTGTTTGCAATGAGGACCGAGTGCGTTAGTATCCTCCCAATTTGGCAGATGAGAATCTGAAACACAGAGAGGTCAGCTGGCCCAAAGCCGCCCAGCCTGGCAGTGGCCGCGCACCTCCAGCTGACCATGAGTCAGAACGTTGGCCCGGGCTCTGGGCAGCCTGCATCTCGGCAAATGCGGGAGCTGAGGACCCGATCCATCCCCCACTTTGCAGACTCGACGACTCTCCCGGCCCTGGAGTCTGCTGGGCACTACAACCCCCACCCCTCCTTCGCCGGCCCCTGTCCCACAACTCACTCCCCAGCCAGCACCCGAGATCGGGGCTCCTGCAGATGGTTCTGGACCCAGGGGCAGGGAGATGAAAAGAGCCGACGAAGACTTTTAAAGCTCCCCACCCACCCAGAGGCACCAAATCCAAGTGGAGGCCTCATTAAAGGGCTCGACTAATTGTACCGTTTGTTTCAACCAGCTAATGTCTTCCTTTCCCTCCAGACGTCTGTCTCCATACAAAAACGCACCCACGCAGGGGCCAGGGGCTAATTGCTGTGGGCTCCTGAGATACAATTATGTATCAGAGAGAAACAGAGAGAGTGCTGGGACTTCAGGGCAGCAGGGAAACCGCTGTCTAACCCTGCAATTACGGGGCAAGAATAAAAAAAAAAAGCGAGTTGCCCCGGCCCCCGGGGCGGAAACACCCCGGCCCGGCTTCCTGGACTCGCAGTGCCGCACAGGATGAGGTCAGAGCGGCCGCTCCCAAGAGGGACCGCTGGGCTGGACGGGGTTCGCTGCGGACAGGGGAGGGTGGGGTCCACTCGGGTTTCCTGGAGCAGAGCGGGGAGGGCGCCGGGTGGGGGGCAGGGAGTGCCTGAGGAAGCGGGGGACCGGAAGCCACAGTTTGCTGAGGGTCACGTGAAGGGGCCCACAGTTCGTCACTGTGCGGAGTCCTCACAACACACCGGGCAAAGCCATTCGGCCAAGTCAGGCCTCGCAGCCCGGCTGCCAGCGGAGACACCAGAGGATGGGGAGGTGGGACTCGCCCAAGCCCGCCTGGGGCCTGGCCCTGGTGCCCAGATCTGGCCGGCTGCAGGGCCCGGGCAGTCCCCCACACGCTGTCGCCGCCTCCTGGAGAAGGGGCTGCTGCTGAACACGGGGTGAGGTCAAAGGCCGGGTTTCCTCCGGGTGGGGGGCAGGGCCTCGCCTCTGTCCTCCTAGGGGCTCCACGTCAAAGCAGGGGTGTGGGCTTCCGGGCGAAGCGCTGGGTCAGGAACAGAACCACCCAGCTCCAAACCCTGCCCCTACTCCGGAATGCTGCGTGATCCTGGGCAAGTTACTGCCCTTCTCTGTGCAATGCCCTCAGCTGGGGAAGGGGCGCGGGGGCGGGGGGGGCGGCTTGATCCACCCGGGTCCCCTCCAGCTCCGAGTCCTGTCTGTTGCACGCCAGCTGGGCACGAGGTCACGAACGGGCCTGGTGTCGAACTGCTGGGTTCACAGGCCGACTGCCCAGAAATGACAGCCCCGGAGGAGGGGACTGGGGTGACTGCCCAGGGACCCCGGATAGCCCACCCAGCCCGCCCCCAGCACTGGGTGCTGGGAGGGGAAGGGCAGGGCCTTGCCCGGATCACGGGCTCAGGGGCTCACTAAGTCACCGCGTGTCCTGGCGGCCTCCCCGGCGGCGTCAGGCACGGTGCTAGTCACTGAGTTTTACTGCCACGTGATCACACCCTTTCACTGAGGAGTTTATGGCCAGTGGCTGCGTTTGTGCACAGTGGCAGGACTGACCCGTCACCCCAGAGAGAGACGACCTGGCCCACAGACTGGGGAAGGCCGACAGGAGGCCTTCACAGTGACAGCCGGCCGCCCTGCCCCAGGCTGCGAGGGCCCTGCGGGCAGAACCCCTCTGGCACATGGGACCCTCCTGGTCCGCTGTGGCGGGATGGGAACACGCCACGGAGAAAGGCGCCAGCGCTGAAGGGCACAGGGCCCAGGGACAGCCGCCCCAGGAGGTGGCCCCAGGGTCGGGTGTGTAAGGGCCAGCAGACGACTTGCTGGATAAAGAAACAGGGGGAGGGCACTCCCGGCCTAGGGACAGCCTGTGCAGTCCAGGCAGCAAAGGCTTCTGGGGTAAATGTCGTGGGGGCGGGGCTCCTCACCCTGACGGGGCCCAGCAGCCAGGGCGCTGCTGCTGCTGCTGCTGCTGCGGTGGAGAAAGGGACACACGTGCGCTCCCGGCTGCCGTGGCCCAGGGGACCCTGCCCTTGCCCTTGCCCCTGCCCTGTGGCATTCGGCATGTACCAAGGGAATCTGGCAGGCGAATGCCAGGCCCTGTGCTGAGTGCTAGGGACGGGCAGCGAGCACGGAGCGGTCCGATGAGGGCGGAAGGTCAGTCCCCGTGCAGACAGGACGAAAAGTGTCCTGCAGAAGAGCCCGTGTGGTGCTCCTGCAAGGGGAAGGAGGCCCCCCTGGGGAGGTGGGGGGATGGGGGGAGTGGAAGACCCAGACAGGTCTCAGCCTGGCAGGTGGGCCAAGTTCCCCCTGGAGTTGGGACTCTGAGGCCAGAGGTCACGGGGGGACATCAGGAGCTCCCAGAGGAGGCAGTCCAGGCCCAGGGGCGGGAGCAAGGGGGCTTACCCCGAGGGGCGAGGCTGAGGAACAGGAGCTCACGGCGGCAGCCGTACGGGTCCTGGAGGCTGCAGCGTCTCCCAAGGGCCAAGGAGACCCCGCCAGAGGCCCTGCCCTCCCTGCCCACCCGTCTGCCAGCCCCTCACTCTCTCCCTGGGCCCCTGAAGGGTCTGCTGCTCTGACCCCCAGGCTTGCTGCTCCCACGGGGGGGCTTGGCCATGGCTGTCACCACAGGCACCCACGAGGGTCATGCCCTCGAGTCCTCCAGGTCTCCGCAGGCCTGTCTTCTCAGGGGGGCTGGCCCCAGTTTCCCTCGTGGCACCCACAAATCCTGCCCCACCTCCCCAGCCCGTCTCTCGGCATCTCTCCGCGCTGCTTCTCCTCTTCCTATGCACGAGTCCTTGGATGGGCCCCTCACCTCTGAAGTTTATCAGAAGCCCCCACCACCACACAGCAGGGTTCACGAGGGGCCACCCTTTGTGCGTTAGGGAAGCCCCCCAGCTCTCTGAACCCTGGCCGGCACTGGGAGGCACCCCAATCTACGTCGGAATCAATGACTCAGCCCAGCGGGGAGTGGCACAGTGCATGGGGACCTCCTGTCCTCCAGGTGACTGTCCCAGGGAGGACCTGCTGCGCAGGAAGCAGGCGACAAAGGAGCCAGCAGTTTGGAAAGAGACCTCCCCGCCTCCCAGGCACCTCGCACCCTCCAGTGCTTTGGTGAGATCATGGGAGCCAACTTTGATCTTTTGTTTTTGAATGCGTGTGTATTTTCAAGGCCAAGGGAAAGCCAATGCCTTTGTGCAGCTCCCACGGAGAGCTTCCCGAGAAAAAGCATTTCAGGAAAGGCCCCCGCAGGGCGAGGTGGGCCCGTCCCAGGGCACAGGCCTGCATTCTGGAGCGGCCTGGGGTGGCGGCACCCCTGCCAACCGCACCCATGGCTCCTCCTCTGATTTCTGCCCGAGGCCAATGTTCTCAGTCGGGGGTTAAAGGAGGGCCGTCACCTCACCAGCAGACAGAGAAGGAGAAAAGGAGGTTCGCAGCCAGGAGGTGGCCCTGAGCCCTTGATGGGGCCCCAGGGAAGCAAGAGGCACAGAGGGTGGCGACCCCCCAGGCCTCCTCAGCGCTCTCTCTAGGCGCAGGTGTTTGATCGGGTCACGCCCCAGGAGGCGATCGGCCAGCGCAAACGTGGCAGGCCCTGCCGGCTGCCTGAAGAGGGGGGTGGGGGCTCCTGGAATCCCATGATCCTCGTCTGTGCTGGAGGAATAGATGTTTCCCCAGAGAATCGGTTCTTACGGTGTCAGGAGGGAAAGGATTTCCAGAGACCCGCACGGGAGGGTGGGGTCTGGTGGCGAACTTAGCTGACGATGTAAAGTTAAGGGGGCTCCCTCCCGACTTTCCCACGTCCCAGCTCCATCCACTCTGCCGTGGAGAAAGTCCACTCTGGTGGCCAACACGGGGGCCGCTGCCCAGAGTGTGTGCTCCCTGTGGAGGTGCGGCCCAGTCCAGCATGCAGCTCCCTCCTGGAGCGTGCATGTGGGGTCCCCGCGGCCGGGGGCCATGTGGCTACTGGGGTCACAGGGCTGTGGAGAGGGGGTGCAGATGAGAGAGAGGGAGAGAGAGAGAGCTTCTCTGTTCCCTTCGGATCACATTAGCTTGGAAAAGACCAGAAGCTTTTTCAAAATGACCAATCAACTATCCGAGTTTTTGTGGGCTTTGGATGAGTGTACCCCGCCCCCAGTTGGACTGACAGCCCTCTAGGGTCCGAGGTCCAGCCCCTCCTCCCGCACCCCCACCAATCGGGTACTGGAGAGGAAAAGGAAGAGTGTTCATCCCCCTGGCTGAGCGATGCGGTGGTCCCCGGCGGTGTGACGCTGTAGCTTCTTGGCTAGGCAAGCAGACTTAGGCCCCCCCGTTTATTAACTCGATGTCTAACTCCCTTCGCTCCTCGTTCTGTTATTACCAATTAGCTAAATGCCGACAGTAACAGACTTGAGGGGAGCCTCCGGCTCTGGTCCCGCCTGGGCCTGGTTGCTAGAGGCCCTTCCTGCACCTCAAGACATGCCATCCCCAAATCCACCTCTCCCGCCCCCCCGGGGCCTGCCCTCTTCCTCTCGTGCCGCGGGATGACCCCCCAGCGCAGAGGGAATTTTTACTGCCTGCGAGCCAGTGTCTGCACGCGGACCGTTGAGCAACACGGTGACCTGTGTCCTCCCAGCACAGCCCCTGACACTGTACCCAGGACTGTGTCTGCCCAGTGGACGTCCAATAAGGCGGCTTTGGCTCTCCCGTGTCCCCCCCCCCCGCCCCCCAGACCAGAAAGGGCGGCTGGCTGTTCGCAGGGCCTGCTCGCTCAGCCTAGCCTGAAGCACGCAGACCTACAGACAGCAGGTGCCCAGCAGCTCCCAGGCTGAGCTGCGAGCCGTGCCGAGGTGGCCTTGGACAGGGAAACCCCCCATTTTCGGTTCCCCAAAAGCTGGAGATAGAGCTCACAGGAAGCATGGGAGGCTGGCTGATGATGCCTGAGGGGGCCGAAAAAGGCAGACATGATCCCCAAGGGCCCCAGGCCTGTGTCCACCCAGCAGAGTGGTCAGCTAACTGCCCAACGTGTTCATCAACCCAGCCGCCGGGGCTGGCTCAGTGCAGCCAAGACGAGTGGACAAACAGTGTCCACCTTCTTATACTTCTCCCCCTGCCCCGCTTGGTCCTGGAGGTGCAAAGGTGCACCTGGCACAGGTGGGTTTTCACTAAGCCCCTGAAGAACGCATCACCCGCGCCTGTTCACCAGGGGGCTCCCAGTCTGACAGGGGGCACAGACCCCACACAGGCCCCCCAGGGCAAGCAGTGTGGCCGAGACACACGCACCGGGTGTGGGGGGGAGGCAGCCAGAGGGTGTGGGCGAGGAATTTCCGGAAGAGGTGACGCTGGAGTCCAGTCTGGAAGGACGGTTCAAGCCGGAAGGCAAGAAGCAGGGTATCCCTTGATTTAAAGTGAATGTTTCTGTATTCACAGGGAGCACGGGGCAGAGCCGTACCATGGTCACGGCCATGCCTCTACGTCTGCACGTCTGCGCGTCTGTGGCGCGAGCCCCTGACAGGGAGCTCTTCGGGGTGTGATGCAAGGGCCTGGAGTAGGCTTTGGGCGGCCACGGCGCCCACTGCAAAGACTCCCATCTGGAGTGAACACAGCGACGGCTACACAACGGGCCGGGCCGCCGGGCCGCCCCACCCAGGAAGTCCCCCCGCAGAAAGCCTTGTTTCGGTGACCATGAGAATGACTCCGCTTTTCCGCTCCCATGCCCTCCTCCCCCCGCTCCTGTTTTAAATTCACCAAAAGCAAAACCACATGGACCCCACTCTCTCTCTCTCTCTCTCTCTCTCTATTTGTGACCTCACTTGGGTAATAAATCTCAGGTTTTGTTTTTCTTCCAGCGTTCCCTGATGGTTATTTCTGAAGTGCAGCTTACAGTCCTACTAAGAACCACAGGGGCTGGCCTGGACACAGCACCGACTCTGGCCGGGGAACGCCAATGGGGTCGCCCCGTGGTCCCGGCCCAGCGCGGGGCCCGGGCAGCCCCAGCAGCGAGCTGCGTGGACAGCACCAGCCACGAGCGACTAAGCATTTCTGCGTCTATGAACGGACTGAACCCGCACAACGCCCCCTGCAGTGGGTGCATCGCCATCTATCGTGTCCGTCTGGCAGGGGAAGGGGCTGGAGCGGCTCGTCCAGGACGGCACAGAGTGTGACCTGAACTCAGACCGACTGTCCTCAGAGTCCTCGCTCTTGACGTTACTCTGAGAAGGACCCTGGGGATTTGCAGAAGGTGGGCTGGGGCCGGGAGAGCGGCAGCAGTGGGGCCCGGGTCATGGTGAGCCTTGCCCGTCCGGCTGTGGAATTTGGACTCTGTCCCAGAGCCATGAGTGACGTGACCCCGGAAGGTGGACAGACGCAACTGGGTGGGTCAGAAAGAGAGAGAGAGAGAGAGAGGGAAAATGGGGTCCCTATAGAACAAGAAGTTTAGTGGTAAAAGCCTGAATGTTTATCAGCCAGGTGTGAGCAAAAATTAGTGTTTTGAGGCTGACTCAACCTGGGGGCTTGGCTTCCAGGAGCACAAGGGAAATTTCCACGCACCTGGGGGCGCCCCTGTATCTGTGACACTAGTCTTGTCGAGGCCCCTGGGCCTGGTCGCGGCAGGTGCCCCCGAGTGTCCGTCCTTCGTGGAAGCAGCGTCTCTGCCGTAGGCAGACCTGCTCGCCGACCTAGCGGCAGCAGGGGGCAGTGTGGGGCGGGGTCCCCGCTGCTGTCCTCGCCCACGTCCCACCCGTGTCCCACCGCAGAGCGGCTCGGCCACAAATGGCACCACTGGGGTCACGTCGGCACTTTCGTCAGCGTTCACCGCGGACCTGGCACAGAGGCCCTGCTCCTCGAGTAGTCGTGTCATTCAAGCCTGACGAGCTCCGCAGGTGGCCGCGAGGCCCGTCTCCTTCCTTACAGATGGGGGAGCACCTGCCTCGGCCCCGAGAGCTGGAGAGAGGCAGCCAGGCACGTGCACCGGCCCGGCCACGCCAGGGCCCATCCTCTTGAACCCCCTACGGCCACTGTGGGATCCATCCCTCCTGGTGGGCGGGACGGGCCCCACGGTGTCAATGGGGCAAGGACACACGGGCAAGCAGGGAGCCACCTGGAAGCCTGTTCTGGAGGATCCGGGGCCCCCCGCTTCTCCCCCCGCAGCCCAGCTGCAAAGCTGGGCTGGGTCTCGGAACATCCTAGAGGGCCGAGCCTTCCGGCGCCGGACCCCTGCAGAAGGTGGTAACGATGCAGGTGCCCCTGTGGAGCCTACGGCTGACGGCTGTGAAGGGCCTGCACCCAAGGTCTGTGGGTCTCCTCGTCCGCTTTGCAAAGGGAGCCACAGGGACAGGGAGGGGCGGGATCTGAGGGCGCCGGGGCCACGCGGGGCTGAGGGAGGACACCTTAGAGCAATGCAGAGGGGGGAGGTGGGACTGTGAGCTGCAGGAGGACAGGGCCGGGTGCGGTTCACGGCCGTCGCCCCGGGGTCAGGCACGTCACCAGCACGCAGTGAAACCCTGCCGCACGGGTGCAGGCCCCGACGAGCCCGCCCTGACTCTCCGGGAGAGGGCTCGGAGGTGAGACCTGAGTTCGAGTACTGCTGACACCCCGGAACAGTGAACACTCGGTCTTATTTTTCATCGATTCCACCTTTGCACCTAATAACCAAAGCATTTCGGCATGCTGGTAAGAATGCTTGGTTACTCCAGGTGTTTCCAGTATGTTGCTACTAAAAAAAAAAAAAAAAAAGGCAGACAACACACTGTGGGAGCACAGCTGCTCTACTGACTATTAGCTGTGCACTGCGGGTCAGTTACTTAACCACTCTGTGCCTCAGCTCCGTCATCGTCAGCGAAACAGGGAGAGAGACAGCACAGCATGTCCCCAGGGTGGCTGCGGGGGTTCAACCCGCCTGCGGTTGGGGGCCGTTGGTGTCCGACGCAGTCAGCCCTCACAAGTGCTGGCAGGCACTCTGCCAGCACCCACCCTCGCGACACTCAGGTGCGTCCGTCCAAAGGAGCCCCGGAATTGGGGGTGTAAGGTCAGCCACCAATCCTATTAGACTAGGGCTAGGCGAATTAATAAACAAACAAACACACAAACAAATGCTAAGAAGAAAAAGGCCTTTAGTCCTAATTCATCCGCCAAGAACCAGGGCTCAGAGGACGCAGAAGGTAGGTCCACCCACGAAGGACTGACAGGAAGTGCCACTGCCAGGCTCTCCGCCCTCGGTCCGGTCCAGCGAGCCGGCCCTGGTGCGCGGCCAGCCCCCGGGGCTCGGGGTGCCCGGGGAGAGAAGGCATTCCCACCCACCCCGCAGCTCGCAAACCTGTTCAGGCCCATGGCAAGGAAGCTTTAGCTCCGGGGCCCCTCGGCGGCACCCCACTTATCGCGTGTATCTTACTTTACATCCGTAACTTCGATTATTTTTTCCTAAAGAGAACTCCCATCGCATCAGCTGCAGGCCCCAGCAAACCCAGACGTGCCTCTCTGTGCGAACCGTGGGCTTGCTCACTAGTCTGTGTCTGCCACTAGAGTTTTAACAGCTGGAGGACACGGCTCCTGTCTTACCCTGTTTTATCTCCAGCGTGTGGCCTGGTGTCAGGAACTTAGGGGTGTGTGTGGGAGGAAGGAAGGCAGGCAGGTCAGCCTGAAACGAAAGGTGCATTTCACTCATTCTGCATGGATTTCCCCCTTAAAATCCTGCAGTGTAAGTTAACCCTCTTCCTCTGACAGCCCTCCTGATATCTGGCTCCCTCCCAGGGCCCCTCCCCTCTCTTCCAGGGAAACAGCCCCAGTTCCAGCGACCGGAGTGACCAGAGCGCTGTCTCAAACGCTATCAGTGGCGGAAATTCCACCAGCTCTCCCTGGGGCGGGGTTGCACTCCCAACCGCCAGGATGTCCTCTTATCTCATCGGAATGCCTCGGCCTCCCACCCCCCCACCCCGGCTGCTTCTGGGCCAGCTGATAACGTGCATTTGGGGGAGGAAATGCCTGAGCTTTAAGGGAAAGGGCCCAGGCCTGTGGCTCTTCCAGCTTGGGAGGAAGCATGGGAGACCCAACCAGCCTGGCCCCCCTGCCTGTCCTGTGAGCGGCAAACCCCACTCCCCGCCCTGTTCCCCTGCACCCCTCACTGGTTCTCTCTTCTCGGCATGGTGACCGGGCTCCACGAACAGTCCCTGGGCCACCACACCGAAGCCGTGCTCCCCCAGCCCCCGCCTGCCCCCCCCCCGATGCCCACCTACGTCTGTTTTTCAGCTTCCCCCCTCCGTCTGGTCCCCTCCCCGACGCCTTGCTAGGGTGGGAACTCCAGGGGTCTTTGTCCGCCTGGAACAGGGCCGGGGGTGGGGGAGGGGAGCCGAGAAAGAGCTCAGAAGTATGAGCTGATGCGTGAAAGAGGTGTCGTGGGCTCACCCTCTGCGTCCGTCCCGCTGGGAGCTGGGGGTGCCGCCGAGGGTTCCAGGGGAGGCCCGTGCTGCATGGGGCCAGCTGTGCTCCCCATTCCCAAAGGGGACGAGGCCCGGTCATCGAGGCTGTGTTTTGGGGGCACTTTGAAAGGAAGGAAGGGAACCCTTCCCCTCTCCACCACCTCGCTGTCCCCCATTCCGCCTCCTTCCAAGCACGCTCCCCTTAGCTCGTTTTCTTTCGTCCGCTCCTGTTTCTCATCTCCCCGGCCGCCATCCCCCAGCCCCTGGGGACACTGCTGTGTGGAGTCTGCACCTTCGGGGAGGGCCCCCAGACCTCTGGCTGCGTGAGACTAGGGGGGGCTGAAGCTCCTAGCCACCCACGTTTACACATAACACCAAGGAACCCCAAGGCCCAAGTGCCTTTGTTTCTACACGACTCACGTACAGAGGCCACCGGTCGGCTGCCCAAAGACATTTTAAAAGTAAGTGCACATTTACAGAGGGGTGGGTGGGTGGGTGGAGGTCCTCGCCGATAATCACGTACGATAGAAACACACACGCACCCCCCACCCTCGTTCTCCCACAGTGGGTGCAGTCACGCCCACACGGAGCCAGGCACCCCAGCGTCTCCGCCGGCCCTGCCGTGGTCGCCACGGGCCACCTGTGGCTCCTTTCGCACTGGAGAACGGGGAAGTGTGACTGAGAACTCAGCGTTGAGTTTTATTCCACTTGCACAAGTCAGAACAGAAACAGCCCCATACGGCGTGGCCGCGACAGGTGGACGGCTCGGCCCCGGGCCCAGGGCTGGCCCACATTCTGTGTCGGGGCCAGACCGTGAGTGTTTCAGGCCTCGCGTGTGCACGGTCTCCGTCACACCCGCCGTAGTGTGCCGCTGTGCCACAGACAGGCCCGAACGGTGAGCCTGGCTGGGCGCCACGAGAGCTTTATTGACAAAAAATGTCCAGGCCACGTGTGTCCTGTGGGTCACAGCTGTCGGCTGCCTCTCCCTCCAGGGCACCCCGGGCCTCCTTGGGGAGGGGGGGGCCAGCAGGCCCTTGTCAGAGAGGGCTGCTCCCTATCCAGGGCTTTACTGACCAGTTTTCACGAGGGTCCCCACTTCCTTTTCAGAAAAGGAGAGAGAGGTGGCCTGATACTCGGAGAGGCCCGCATTCTGCCCCGAGGGAGAAAGCGTCCCCTCTTTGCAGGCCATCCCGGGAGAACGGGCCACATTACGGAGAGACCGGGCGGCGGGGGGGGGGGAAACACGACCGCATTCCCAGCCAGCATAATCCAAGGAAGGGACCAGAACAGGTAACACCCGTCACCCCTGCAGGGAAAGTCAGCGAGTCATTTACCTCAGTAGGTCGAGGGACTGTCCATCTCTGGTCCCCAACTGGAACTGTCCCGGCCGCGAAGCTCAAAGCCGCCACCTGCCGTGGCCCCTGGCGACGCGCATGACCCCTGTCGGCGGCTGTAGGTCAGAAAGGCTGAGGCTGAGGACGGTGCCAGCTGACAGGAGAGAGGAGGAGAGTGTCGTGAGCGAGGACGTGTGCTTGCCCTGCTGCCTTCTGAGGACGACTCGAGGTCATCAGCCGGGTGTGCAACCCCCTCCCCGCTTACGCACCACGTTCACAGCAAGTGTTTTCTCAGTAGGTACCCAATTTGTTCCATGCACAGAGCCAGTGCCAGACTCGGAACGGCGAGGAAGTCGGAATCCCTGCCCTCACCCTCAAGGAGCTCAGCCTGTGGCCGGAAACAGACCAGGAGCCGAATCCCCGGATCCCCGGGGGCGGGGGCGGGGGGGGCACGTGGGCCACGGGCCTGGGAGGGACATTTAGGAGAACCGGGGAAAAAATGACCAACTTGGGAAAAGAAGAACTTGAAAAGGAGTGGACATTTTTAGCAGCTTCTCCGTTTGCAGTACCAGCAAGAGGCTGTTTTGCAACAAAAACCCCAAAAGAACAAAAACAAAAACACCCTGGAGAGGAAAGTGTCTCCAGAACGAAAGTGTCTCCAGGTGAAGATGTGAAAGCGAAAGCACAGGCCCGGGCCGGGAGGAGCACCTCGGGGCCCGGCGGGACGCGGCTTCAGAAGGCCTCATCTGGGAGTGAAACCAGACTCCCGGCCGGGCCCCCGCCGGGCCCCAGACACCAGGCAGTGTGCAGGCCACGCGTTTCCTCCTGCGGCCTTCTCACGGAACCCCCGTGGGGCCACGCGGACTGTCCCCACATGACGAATGGGCAGCTGAGGCCTGGGCTGTGTACGTGAGTCAGCTCGCCCCGGACGCCGGAGGCAGCCAGTGGGGGAGAGCAGGACAGAACAGGACACCCCCGTTCTGTCCGGTTCCCAGGCTTCCTCTCAGCCGCCGGGACGGGAGACGGCGGCGAGGCCCCCCGGTTCGCTCACTCCACCCTCTACGCACACCCCTTTGTGATGGAGTTGATCTCGCCACCCTTGACTCTGAACTTGGTCATGTAACCTGCTGTGGCCAAGGAGCCAGTAACACACGGGACCGAATAAAGGCTCAAAAAGGGCTTCTGCTCAGAACTTCCTCTATCTTGCTGCTGGGAATGAATCATGCCGCCGCCGCATTAACACGCCTGGGCCGGCCCCCTCCCCCCAAAGGGATGAGACGTTACAAGAAGGGAGGCCCCGGGCTCGGCCCCCAGGCTGGTCTGGGAAGTCCCCGGCAAGCTGCCCAGACTCAAAGAAATGCCCCAGACTCAGGAGAAACAACACACGTTTGCTGTTTGAGGCGCCGAGGGTTGGGGCTCTTTGTTACCTAGAGAAAGCTAACGGATACAACCACCACGTTATCCTTACAGCCCTGGCAAGGATATCACACCATTACCACGCACGTCAGAAAGGAAGGGTGGCCCGTGTTGGGGGCAGTCAAGAGTGGGTGAGCACCAGGCAGGTCTGTGGGCCCACGAGGAGGGAGAG